TGTCTAATAATATTGAAATGTACAACATTTAAAATAAAATGTACACATTTATTTGCATACAAAAAAAGGGACATAAATCAAAGATATAACCTTAATTGAGACTTATTATGTTTTTAGATAAATTTCCACTTCTATTGTTTTAACTAGAGTTTTTCCATCAAAGCACTTATAAGGTCCCTATAAAGGTATCTTTAAGGTCCTTATACTATAAAGTTTTTTTTTTTTTTTTTTTTTTTTTTTGTAACAAGAAGAGGGGTAAACCTGGAACAGAACACCCTCACCTCCCCAAATGAAGCGTCTGGTAAGAGTCTCCAATTTGGTGCATATTCCCTTTGGCAAGAAGGTGGTTTGCATTGTGTATGTTGGGATAGCGCTAATGACGGATTTGGCTAGTGTAACACGTCCTGCCAACGTGAGAACTCTACTTTTCCATCCTTCCAGTCTAGCTGCCACCCGGTCAAGCAAACCTGCGAAATTTGCGAACGTGGTTCTGCCGTGCAACGACGGGACACCTAAGTATCTCCCCAGGTCAGCGGTAGGCGGTATACCAAGCTTGGTTGCTATCAAGTCCTGCAACTCAGGCCCCGTGTTTTTGGAGGAGTACACCTGTGACTTACCAAGGCTAATCTTCTGCCCAGAGGCTTCACAAAAACGATCTAGACACTGCTTAATAACGGTAACCTGCTCGAGCGAGGCTTCCGAAAAAAGAACCATATCATCCGCAAAGCACAGATGAGACAGCATCGGGCCGCTGGCGGATAGACGGATGCCCTGCCACGTTCCTCGCTCCACTTCCAACGAGATACTTTGGCTGAGTCGCTCCAAACAGATAACAAAAAGCGCCGGTGACATGGCGTCACCTTGACGAATTCCCCTGCCGGGTTTGAATTGTTCCATGCGTGTCCCATTCCATACAAGTTGCATATTCGCCATGCTCAAGCAATCCATAATAACTCGCGCCCATCCCTCGCTGAAACCTGCATTCAGAATTGAATCATTAATAAAATCCCAAGACAGGCGATCATAGGCCTTTTCTAAATCAATTTTAATAGCCATTAAGCCCTTATTCCCTTTTCTAGTACGCATAGTATGCATGACTTCCTGGTAAACAATAATGTTCATATATTCTCAGGATATATGATTCTTGATTAAGTTATTGCAGAGCTTACGAAAGAAATTTACGTACTAAAAATCTCAAGTTATTCCCTTGGTGAATTTGTCAAAAAAAATAATCTGAGAAATTTGATATCTTCTTGTATTTCAAAAGTTATGGTTTGATTACCATTATGTTTAGTAAGAGAAATCAGAAGCTTTTAGGATGATGTGTTTTACATGCTTGAAGACAATGATCAAGTGTTCTCTTCTTTGTACTGATCAGTCACAAGTTCCTTATATGAGACTCAGGTTACTAACAAGTCATACGAAGATTATTGAATTGCTTTTGGAATTGAAAAACTTTGAAATAGAATGCTAGGAAGTTGAAAATAATGTTGCAAAAGTGGTTTTAATATAAGAAAGTGAATAAAATATGAATTTCTTACTTTACCCCTAAAATTTTAAATATTTTTAAATTTTTCCATCAGTTTTAACCGCCAGGGACCAAATGCGCCACTTCGCTCATAACTGAGGGGCTAAAAATGGATACGGTCATAACTCAGTTAACTCAGGGACTGAGTTGTCACTACCATTATAACTCAGGTACCAAACTTACCATTTTCCCTTTGAATAATTATAAAATAACATGAGTTGACCTGTGGCAGCGGTGATGTCAATGCCACGCCAACTAAGTTAATGATAATACTAACACCATTAACTATTATCATTTTTTTGAAAGGAACTATTATCATTAATTGTACAACTTTTTAATTAAAATATAAGGACTAAATTGAACAAAATTAAGGTAGTACATGGACCTCATAGGTACTTTGATCAAATTTTGCACAAATAATGTTTCAAATTTTTAAAAATTATTATTATTATATTAATTTTAAAAGGAAAATGCTCATTTACCCTCCTTAACTTTACCTCCAACTTTCCCCTTATGATGTGACTTTCATTTATTGGGCGCCAATAAATTGGCTAACCCACCACTAACTAATAAATAAATTTAACTACCAATCACATGATGACACCTTAGGAGGGAAATTTTGTAAGGGAAATACATGAGAGGTTTGTAGGATTGCTCATTTTAAAATAAGAAAAATGTCTAAATTGGTCAACAAACTAAACATAAAAACGCAATCAGGCCATTGAATCCTAAAAAGGTGCATTTAGCTTCCTTGACTAGCCAAATATGTCACCTATTGATCCCATCCTCAATTGGTTACTTTGCTACGATGACCTCTCTATGGCAATTGCTTTACTTGTTTTACTAAGCTGATGGATATATTAGAAGTGGAACCGGGGCAAACTAACCTGGGGAGGCGAGCAAAGTGACCCGGGTCGACCCCGTAGTCAGCACCAGGACCTCAAGGTTTCTCGAAGCTAGACCAAAGGCCTAGAGGATGACCTTAGCGCTTGTCCTTGTGTTGTGCCAAGGACCAGCCACGGGCTCGACCTTGCCGCTTGGCCTTAGTTTCCGACCTAGCCCTAGCGACATGGTCAAACTGTAACCGCCCACCATTTTCTCGTGTGGCGGTTATGGGGGAGCTTTTTGTATAAATACTATCGTTTATCATGTTATTGGGATATCACCTGGTCTTGACATTACATGTCTTGTACCCTCATGAATCATTAATATAGAGCTTTGTTTTTCCTATTCAATATCTTGTCTTTACTATTTTTCCTTTAATTATTGGTTTAATTAATTCGGGCCACCCAGGTTAATTTGTTCCATAATTGGTGCTTTCATTGAGTGCTCGACATACAAACTCGAGCGTGCTTCCTATTTCCAATAGCGAGGTCCAACTCTCGCCTTTCTCGCAATTCCCGCAACACACGTATTACCCCGTGCTAAAACGGCCTCAATAGGCCGGGATGCGAATCATCCACCCCCTAATAAGGTTGGAACAGGGCCTATAGGATCACATAAACAAGAACCGCAAGGATAGATCAGCCCCAATCGCCCTACCTCCAACCTCGGGTCTCCAAGACGGGTGGTCGTGATCCAACAAGGAACTCAAGGTGTGGTTTGACCCCATCAAATTGATACCACCATCGAGGTGCCATGTGAGGCTACGCATGGGTAACCACCCCCCAACCTTGTCTTCCCCGAGGCTGAGTGTAACGCTGGGGGCCCGAGTTGGACCGAGCAAGGAGCCCGAGCCGATGTGGAAGTCAATTCGCTTAGTGCAACCCCACCCCAAGTGTCAACCTCAATTCCATGGGGGGGGGGGGGGGGAAGGGTCTGAGCTCGCCTTACTTTGGCTCATAGCTAACCTCAACTTAATCAAATCCCACATTTTGCCGAGCACATGTTGAGGGACTTGTCTTGTCCCGAGTGGACATGCTCATGATTTCCAAGCTCACATCGAATAGCTCGTCCTCCGAGAAGTCGAGCTCGCGTTGAATAACCGTCCTTGCCCAATGAAATTGAGGTTATAATTTGTTGAACCCATGCTAGAAACCACGCCTCATTTCAGGAAGTCAAGCTCGTGGCATACCGAGCTCATGATGAAAGATTCATTTTTTGCTCTAAGAATCCAAACTCATGGCTTGCAGAGTCCACCTTGAGGGACTTACATGCTCCCAAGTGGTTGAGCCCGCGCTTAAGGATGCGACTCACTTAGGAGGGCCGACCTTGTGAGATCGCATTGAAAACTCGTCTTACCCCAAGTAGCCAAGATTGTAATTCCATGGGAGCCCGGCCTCATATGTCGGCGAACCTCGATCACCTAAAGAGGAGGGGAGAGGTCCGAGCTCACCTCACTTTACGGTGACGAGCTCAGCTTGCCTTAGTTGGTGGCTGAGTTCAAGTTGCTCGTGCCCAACTCGTGATGTTTGAGCTCATTGAAAGACTAGCTTCACTCTACCAAGTCAAGGTCATGATTTTTCCGACCTCATGTTGATTATCTTGCCTCGTCCTAAGAAGCCGATGCCATGAACTTTTTCAAGCTCATATTGAAAGTCTCATACCCCAGGTGTCAACCTCGAGGCCAAGGCTATCGACCTCACATTTGGTTATCCCTAATACTATTATGAAGGGGTTGGACCGCATGTATCAACCTCGAGGGCGAGGGCATGGACCTCGACCTCAATTCTTCCAAATGGAATTACGTATCTTGGCATCGCTTATTGCCACGCAAAAGGATTAATTCTTAACCGAGGTCGAAGCGTGCCAACCTCTAGCTTGATTATCCTTATGGACATCACGAGGTTAAACCTCACCTAGTAGTCATGTAGTAGTTTCAGTGCATGCATGTTGTAGATGCAATGCATACATGTAGTAGTCACGGAGTTAGAGTAGTTTTTGTGCATTCATGAAGAACATACCATGCATTACTGAAGAAATCCACATGTTCTCACGTTAAGAGGTGTTCTCACTTGAATGTGACCCTCTATATATATAAGGTGAACTTAAGCTTGTTGGAATAAGGTTCGAACCTAAGATCTTCCTTCCGTTACTAAAGATTACACTGACGGAATGCATGGATATTTAAGGAAAGTAAATGATATCATAGAAGGTAAAGTAGGAAAAATAATATAAAATATTAAAATCAAAATAATATGAACCATTCATTTTAATAAACAATTGGACCAACATTTTTAGTTCTCATTATAAGTCTAACCTTATTGGTTCTTATTAGATTAGTAGATAGTAGATAGTAGATAATAATTAATCTTTGAGGTGAATTTATTTATTGACAATTACTAAATATAAACATGTAAATCAATTATATTATTACCAATTAACCATTTACATCCTTCAAACAAAAAAAAATAAAAAAAATTAACCATTTACATCATTTGGTATTTTCTTTTAAAAAATCAAAATAACATTTTTTTTCGTTGTATTATATAGATGGAAAATATTTAATGGATTATATTTTACTTGAGTTTAGGTTATATCATTTGCAAGCAAAGATGAGTTGATTAATTGGCTTCTACAAGAGCCAATGCGTACCCCGGGAGCTCTTCATTTTGAGGAAAAGAATGCAACAGTGATAAGCTATGGTGTTCTAACAAATTCATCAACTTATATTGAAGTCCCAAGGCAGATTGAAGATCCCACTTTCAAGTTCAGAATTCCTCTCCAACTTGCTGCATCAAGAGAAATTGCTAGATCTTTAATTGGAGGTAATTAAGTATATTAATTAAGGTTACATTATAAATTAATTAATAAACATGATCATATTTTTCATTTTTGTAATAATGGACCTTATAGTAAAAATATGACTTAACATGTTGCTTTATGATAAGTTGTCTGTCAAATTATTAATTATTTTATGGAATAGTCAGTTAATCACAATATATCACACAATAGTTAGTTGTTCACCACTTTTTTTTTGAGTTACGGAGGGAAATCTGCAGTCACTATTTGAGTCTTATAACTCTATCTAGCCAATAAAAGACTACAAAGAGGTAAAACAGCTAGTCTAGATTGTTCATAATTGATAAGTATTATTTAAATATATTATTTTAACTTCTATTTTTTTTTTGTATAAATAAAATCAAATATTTCATGTTTGTCATTTAGATTCAACTTTCAGCTGGAACATCGCATTCAAGCAATTTGCACATCCTGAATTGAGAAAGCGCGACGAGGACGATTATTCTATCTCTAATGAAATAGCAATTAATAATTTTGGCCCCATTTTTTTCTATGCGGTTTGCATGTTTGCTTTTGTGTTTCAGATGAGCTCCATTGTTGCGGAGAAAGAACTCAAACTTCGTCAGGTAATTATTGCATATATGGTGCCCGCATGGGCAGTCACTGGTCGTAGAGGTGAAATTTATCACAAGAGACCAATGATTGAATCTCACTAGCGACAATGTGGGAGTAACTAACCTCTCAAAATTAGGGGACTTCTTGTGCATAGTGAGCAAAAGTTTAACCTCTGTTGTTCATCAATTGAATCACCATGACTTACCCCTCCACAAATTGCCGGGGCGACTAGGATGGACAATTCCACGTTTTGTCACAAGCGTATATGGTGGAGGATAAATGAACATTGATTGCCTTTTTCTTTTGGTTTACCCCTCCACAAATTGTTGGGTTGGGGTGTGGGGGCACCTGGGATGGGCGATTTCACCCTTTGTATGAACACTGATCATCAACATTTTCTTTTGATTTATATTATTTTTTCACAAACTGTCGGATTGGGGTGTGGGGTTATTTTGGGTGGGCAACTCCACCTTTTGTCACAAGCATATATGGTGGAGTAGAAATGAACATTGATCACCCACATTTTCTTTTGGTTTACCCCTCCACAAACTGTCGGATCGGGGTGTCGGGACACTTGGAATGGGCAATTCCACCTTTTGTCACAAGCATATATGGTGGAGGGGAAATGAACACTAATCAACATCTTTTTTGTTGGTTTTTACTTTTTACCCCTCATTTGATTGGTGTAGGCAATGGCTGTGATGGGCCTCTATGACACTGCTTATTGGGGCTCTTGGATTATATGGGAAGGATTTATGTCGTTGCTTTCATCACTCTTCATAATTCTTTTCGGGATGGCTTTTCAACTACACGTTTTCTTGGAAAACAACTTCGCTTTCGTGTTTCTCTTGTTCTTTCTTTTCCAGTTGGACATGGTATGCTATATATGCTCCAACACTCCAACTCAATTCATTCTTAAATCATCACTTAATTTACATCGGACCTTAACTGCATTGCTTGCTTTATACTAGGTTGCTTTTGCATTCCTCTTCTCAAACTTTGTCCGCAAGACCTCGTCAGCATCATCTGTTGGTTTTGCCATATTTGTTGTTGGTGTTCTAACCCAGGTAAGTCAATACTCTCAGTTAAAGATCTAATGACTTACTTGAAGTTGTTAGCAATTATTGTAATGTGTTTGGATTCATTAAGGGAAAATTGTAATTTATGCCCCTCCATAATATGTCAATTATCAATCTCACTCCTGAATTATTAGTGGTGTAAATATTGCCTCTCAATTTTTAAAACAATACATATATTGCCCCTCCCGTACGGTACGGGAGGGTCAATATATGTACCATTTTGAAAAATGAGGGGCAACATTTACAATACGGGAGGGCACTATAGGTACCATTTTGAAAATTGAGGGGCAACATTTACACCAGTAATAATTTAAAGGTGACATTGATAATTGACATATTATGGAGCGGCAGAAATTACAATTTTCACATTCATTAATGTTAGGATCAAACATTTTCCATTATGTCAAAAGCTATAACTCGGAGCGAATACGCAACTTTATTTGCTTATACTGCCACCACATTTTCGAGACGTATGGTGTTGGACTTGGCCCTTCAGCCTTTGCCCAACAAGGCATAACAATCCCCTAGCCTGTTGGGCTTGGTCCTTTACTGACCTTTGCCCAATAAGACTTGTCCTTTTAGGCTTCCGCCCAACAATTCCATCCTGCAGCACCTGTCAATCTTAATTGCAAAATTTTTACTCTTGCTGAGACTCGAACTTGTGATCTGGCACAATTTTAACTACATAACCTTCTTTATTTTCTGCCATTGTTATTGTTATTGTTAATCTCAATAGTTCATACTCTACTCTTTCTAGGCTTTCTCAGTGTTAGTATACATTGATACGAAATTGAAGCATATGTATCAAAGGCTACTCTGGTCACTTTTTCCACCAAACCCTTTCTCTGGAGGCCTTGGTTTGTTATTGGCAGCTTCACGACATCCTGGGAATGGGATCAGCTGGAGTAGGCATTCTTTATGTGATATAGATGATACCTATTGCCGCCCAATTGTATGACACTTTTTGTCTCTCTTAGTACTTTTTTATTAGGTTGCATGGAATTGTACTGTGCCTTTAGTATTTGTTGGGGTTAATGCTTTGCTGGTTCTTTGTCACTTGCCAGGGCTATTTTTATCAATGGCAGATAGCAACATTCTTCATGTGGCTTATTGTAGCAATTTATGTCAACAATATCTGGACCAATTCTACAGGGGTAAAGAAACCATATTTTTACTTTCTAAATCCCAGTTACTGGACAGGAAAGGATGAATATAAGTCAGAAGGTATATATATTGAACTTTGATTTTGTCTCAATAATTTCTTTATTTTCACTGCTGGAAATTATGGAATTTCTGACCACATGAAAGTGATCTTAAATCAAGTTGAAAGTAAAAAGTGGTCGGAAATAGCAACAAAGGTTTTTCTGGATACCAAAAGTGGTCGGAACAAGGCTTTCGACTTGATTTAAGATCACTTTCAGGTGGTCGGAAATTCCATAATTCCCAGCAGTGTTTTCTAATTCCAAATGACATTAACTAAACGTTGTCGATCCTGTTCCTAATCTAAGAAAATGGGAAGTGTTGTGGATCTAATTCTCCGCCACCAAATGATCGCTTCGATGCAAATGATGAGGGTGTTCTCGAGGAGGAGAGTCGAGTGAAGCAGCAGGCAAGTGAGGACAACATTGATCCTAATGTTGCTGTTCAGCTACGCGGTCTGTTCAAAACTTATCCGAAGAAAATAAAGCTAAGTTGCCGCTCTTGCTGCTTTTGTTGTTATTGTTGTGTATGCAGGACGAGAAAAGCGTACACTGCTGTGAAGGTAAGCTTTAATTTTTTCGTTTCTTGGCTCACTCGGCTCGGTTTTGAAACAAAACTTGGTTCGTTAATGGTGAATTTTGGTTTCTGTGTTAGAGTTTATGGCTAAACTGTGAGAAGGATCAATTGTTCTGTCTCCTCGGGCCGAATGGTGCAGGAAAGACTACTGTAATTAATTGCTTGACTGGCATGACTTCTGTGACTCATGGAGATGGTAACAATTTATGGGATTTTCTTAGTCGTTGTGTGATCAATTTCACAGTTGTAATCTTTAAGTTTTGCTTCTGAGTAATGATATAATGCACTTTTGATAGGTTTGGTTTATGGGAATTCTGTTAGAAGCTCTACTGGTCTTTTAAACATTCGGAAACAAATTGGAGTCTGCTCTCAGGTAGTTCCTTATCCCATTTCATGGAAGCAATGTTGTAAAAATCGGCCTAGGCAGTCACCTAGGCTTTGACTAGGCTAGGTGCCCCTAGACCGAGGGGAATTCACCCCTAGGTGCCTGCTAGTCGGCTAGCAGGCCAACTAGGCGCCCTACTCAGTTAATTCAAGGCCCTATTTGGCTGAGTCAACGCCCACCTTAACCGAGTTTTATTTTTATTTTTTTTGGGTTTAGGGTGACTACACCTTATTATTATGATAATTTTACTCAGTTGTCTAGACTCTAGACGCCGACCCCGACCGCCTGACTAGCGCCTTCTGCAACCTTACATGGAAGAAGTAGAATGAAAATGAATGCAATTTTTAAACTTTTTTTTTATCTTCTCTTATGCCACTATTGAATTATTGTTTTCAAAACCATAATCAAAATTTTGTTTCAAACATTATAGTTTGACACACTTTGGGATAAACTGTCTGCAAAGGAGCACCTCGAGCTCTTCGCTAGCATCAAAGGATTGCCTCAAACTTCAAACAAATCTGTGAGCCAAACACCATATATCTTTTTCTTATGTTTAGTTTATCTCTATATTCAGGAAGGAAAAATGACATTTCTGATATGTTACTTTCCCTTTTGGAATTCTACTCTGTGTTCTTGGGTTTTCACTAACAGAAATATGTTTATTTACATAAATTAATGTAGGAGGCTACAAATTTACTTGCCCAAGTAAAGCTCGAGGATGTTGGGAAAGTAAGAGCAAGTAGCTACAGCGGAGGGATGAAGCGACGTCTTAGTTTAGCCATTGCATTGATTGGTAATCCGAAGCTTCTGATATTAGATGAACCTGTAAGCACACTTTGAAAATTTTTGCCTATAACTTTTGGGGTAGTGGTAAGTGCTTGATCTTAACAAGTGGTAACAGATTCCTGGATTGTTTCTTCTCACTTTTAGACAACTGGAATGGATCCTGTAACCCGGAGACATATCTGGAATGTGATCGAGTCTGCCAAGCATGGGCGCTCGATTATTTTGACAACACATTCAATGGAGGAAGCTGACATTTTAGCAGATCGGATTGGGATCATGGCGAAGGGGAGGCTTCGTTGCATAGGAAATTCGACCACGCTCAAGTCTCGATTTGGAGCTGGTTTTATCACTAAAGTTAGCTTAGACAAAGGAGAAGATGATGGAAATACCATAGAGGATCATCACAACAAACATCATTTGGCTGTGAAAGAATTTTTCAAAATGGTATTTTATGATGCAGTAAATAGAAACTCTTCAATCCATACATCCTATTTATATATCATTTGGACTTTTTATTCTTTTTCTTTTTGTAGCACTTGGATGTGATGCCAAAGGAGGAGGATACGTCGTCCTTGACTTTCGTTATCCCTCATGGGCAGGAGAGGCAATTATATGTAAGGCTTTCATTGTATATGTAAGGTTCTGTTATTCCTTTTTAGGATTCAAGCGTTTACCACTACGCCAAATAATCCTCTAGCCACCAATTACTGGACTTAGTCTTTCACCGGCCTTCCCCAACAATTCCTCCTCGTGACTAGGTTCTGATACCACTTTTAAGATTCAACCGCTTACCACTACGCCAAAATTATAGCTCATAACAAAGGCGCAACTTTATTTCCTTATATACCGCCACATTTTCAAGAGACAATGTGTTAGACTTAGCTCTTCATTAGCCTCTGCCCAACAAGCCACCAATTGCTGGACTTGGCCCTTCATTGGCCGACCCAACAATTCCCCCTCATGACCAAGCTTTGATACCACTTTTTAGGATTCAAGTCCTTACTACTACGCCAAAAAGCTATAACTCAGAATGAAGGCACAACTTTATTTTCTTATATACTGCCACATTTTCGAGAGGTAAGGTGCTCGACTTGGCCCTTCACCGGCCTATGCTCAACAATTTCCTAGCCTCCAATTGCTAGACTTGACCTTTCACCCGCCTCTACCTCACAATCCTGTTATTCACGGTTTTTTATTTTATTGAATTTTACAAAGTTTATTAACATATTGCATCAGGAATTTTTCAAAGAGATGGAGAATAGAAAATCAGATTTCGGCATACAAAATGTTCAAATTGGACTGTCTACACTGGAAGAAGTTTTCTTGAGTATTGCTCAGAAGGCAGAGTTAGAGAGTGCAACAGTTGAGGGAAATGTCAAGACATTGACTTTACCTTCTGGAGCTTCAATCCAAGTAAAGTTTCATACTTGAATGCATTTACAACATAGATTCAACAAAATGCATTTTCCTTCTTTTTTTCTTTGAACAACAGTTTAAATGGCAATGCAGGTTCATTTAGGGGCAAAATATGTTGAGATTCCTGGATCTGTGTCGCCCGACAACCCGCGAGGGCTCATGGTTGAGGTGTATTGGGAACAGGATGACAATGGCAACCTCTGCATTTCTGGGCATTCGAATGAGACTCCAGTGCCATCAAACTTCCGTAGAACACCCACTGGATTAGTTCCATAGTAGACTACTAGTGTACAAGGCTAGAAGTGTACTTACTTGGGATATATCTGATGTTGGAATGCACAAGAAAGTACAGCCATGTTCATAACATACCACATATAACGAGTAATGAGCACAATAAAGTATGATAATTGTTTGAAATGGATGTCTTTGGGAAGTGGCACTACTCTCTTTGTTCACAATTCACAAAAGTACAAACTTGTGTGAAACTACCTAATGTGAGACATTTAATAGTTTTGTAGCAAAAATTTAGTACCTTTTTATGAGAGAGAAAAGAAAAGTGTTATATTTTCACTAAAGTTTTACATTAGTACCTAATGTCCACAAGGAGTCCTCACCACGTTGGGTGAAACTCTTATACTGGGTCGAGGGCTGTTAGGAATCAACTGAGTTGCTCATGCTGGCATTTTATCACTCTTGTTCCCATGGGTGCCATGCCTAGGCCTAACTCCCTTATAGACACTTAGACATCTACTAAGATGGCATAGTTTGTCTTTAACACGATCATGACTTCAAAAATCTTCTCATAAATCAGTGATCGAATTAAATCCGCGCGGGGATCATAACTGTTAGTTTTTTTTTTTTTTTTTTTTTTTGTTGGTTGTAATTATTGACAAAACATTCTTATTGCCATGTTGTTGTTTAGCACTATTGACTCTGTTACAATGTTAAAATATTCTTAGTGCCATGTTTCGGAAAAAAAAGGTTCCTTGTTTACAATTCTTTCTTATCTTGGTTTTGGTATCTTGATTGTTCATATGGAAAGAAGCTGCTAAGTATGTATTAGGATTTTAGTGCTATATATATATCAATGATGATGATATGTGCTGAAGAGGAGGCGGGAGCATACAAAGAATACATCCAATACTGGTACAGAAAGGTGACTCAAGGGATTTGCTTCACAATGGGACTATAGTCCATCCTTGAGGCTTTGGTTTACATGTATTGATCAGACGAGAGTCTGAGGCGATTATTGTTGCAACTCTTTCAAGGCATGAGGGATTTTGCATTAGAGCATGTGTTGCTTAACTAGTGCATTGAGTTTTTTTTTTTTTTTTTTTTTTTTTATTGATATCTGAGCATGTTCACTTAACTTGCTAGTGAGATCCGTGGGACTTTGTCTTTTTTTTTTTTAGGATAAAAATGGGTGATCTTGTTGAAGGTAGCTCGATCTCACGGCCTTCGAAACTTAAAGGTCAATCGAACTATGCATTTTGGAAAAAGAGAATGGAGGTATTCATCAAAGCACAAGATGAGTGTTGCTATAAGGCAGTTGAAGATGGTTATGAGACTCCAATGATCACTAAGAATGGTAAAAGTTGAAAGAAGACTCGAAAAGAACTGATCGGGGATGAAAGGGCTTTGGCAAACTTCAATAGTCATGCCCTGGATGCTATTTTTATTGAAATCAATACTAGTCAGTTTCCTCTAATTTCTGACTGCACAACTGCCAAGCAAGCCTAGGATATTTTGGAAGTCATGTATAAAGCGACAGATGATGTCAAAATCTCAAAACTGCAATTAATCTAGTCCCGGTTTGAGAAACTAAGGATGAATGAGTAGGAGAAAGTTTTCGACTTTAATGCTCACTTGAAGGGATTGGCAAATGAAGTAGCTAGCCTAGGGGAACCATTCAGTGAAGAAAAACTAGTCAGAAAAGTGCTAAGGTTCTTATTTTCCCAATTTGAGAAACTAAGGATGAATGAGTATGAGAAAGTCTTCAACTTTAATGCTCACTTGAAGGGATTGGGAAAATAAGAATTCAAGTGGGAACTCCTTTCATCAATCAAAAGGTAGCGTTGCTCAACCTGAGGGTACGTCGCAGGACTTCAGAGACAATGGTGTTCAATGCTAGGAGTGTGGTGGTCACGGGCACATTAAAGGAGACTGGCAATCTCAAGAACAAGGCAGAGAAGCCCCTAACAATTACCTGGAGTGATGATGAAGCCGAAACAAAGAAGTTCTAAACAATCTGGCAAGTGCAAAGAACGTAAGAAGTCTCTGCAAGTTGAACTGGATATTCTTGAAGTATGTCATCAGAAGGTAGAACACATGAACTTGCATAATGTTTTGAAGTTAATCGGACCAAATGTTATCCGTGGAGTCCCTAGAGATATTCTGTTTTATCTCTAGGCAAAAGAAAGAGAAGACCCCGCAAGAACCAACTCGAGTTCTACTAATTGCCAAGGGAGTTCATTTATTTATTTATTTATTATTCAGTTGTTTTATCATTTATTTGGTTATTATTATGTTTTATTTAGTCTGTGGATCTCTATTTGTTTATATCTTTATTTATGTTTTTTTTTAGTACTACTAACTATAAATTGTAATATATGTTCATCTCTACTTTCTCAACCTATTGAAGCACAAAGAGTCGATCTCATGATATCCCATATGTTTTATTTAGTTCTTTATATTTTTCATTGTTTTTTTTATGGGTTAGTTTGTTTGTGTTTTTGATTTTGTATTTCTTTTGTTTGTTTGTTTTTTTTTTTTTTTTAAATTTCAAAAATATCTTGTTGGAATTTTTAGCTACAAATGGCATTTTGAGTGATTATTTTGTGGTACAAATATATGTGGGATCCACTTCCGATTTGGGTCGGGTCAAAGTGGATTCAGGTTCTTCGTAGTGAGACAAAGAATTTGATATAATGTACGCTCAAAATGAGTAATAGGTGAATGAAAAATTGATTCTCAAAGTGAACCTATTTGAGAGAAGCCAAAATCTTAAGCTAATTGCTAATTAAATTAGCAATTCGTTATTAAGCTTGATTCGTTGTACACGAGGTGTGCAAGAAAGTAAGCTTGATTAAGCTTAAGTGTTGTGATTAAGCTTTGATAGCTTAAAGAATGATTAAGCTTGAAAGCCTAATTAGTGATTTGGGATTTGAAGATTCGTGCTGTAAGAATTGAAAGCTCAATTTGGAGCTTTGGTTTCTGTAAAGCACGAAATTTTGTTTTGGCACCTTTCGTGCTATGCTTTCATGCTGGACGAAAGTGCATGCAAATTGAAAGCTTAATTTTAAGCTTTAGTGTGACACCTGTTAGACAATTTTTATTAAGTCCTCGCAAGTGCACGAGTCACTGTAGTAATAGGGTGCAAAAGCAAGGGTCGAACCCAAGAGGAATTGATACAGTGCAATTTAATAAACTCGAAAATAAATGGCATAATCCAAAAACTAAGGAAACAGAATTGACAATCAAAACCGCATGTAAAAATAAAGGCAGGAAGGATAAAAAATTAATCATGAAACGAAACAATTAGAGAATAAAAGCTAGATTAACTCAATTGCCAAACTGAAACTAACAGTGAGCATTAAGGAGAAGGAAATAAACAAAAATGTAGTGGAATCACTTATCAAATCATCGAAAGATTAATAGCATAAGTAATCTCATTAAGAATTGGCAGTGGAAAGCTTCTCAACACAAACCAAAGTGCAATACAGCTTTCCTCAAAATCAAACAAGACAAATTTACTAAGCAAATTGAAAAGAATTATGAAAAGCCAAGTAAATTGAACTAGAAACTGCTGCTGTAAAATTATTCTCGTTGCTAGAAGGACAATTTAGCAAACACCAAGAAGGATTAATAAGAAGAAAAAGAACAAAGTGAAAGAAATAAAATGGAATTGTTATGGAAGAAAGAAAGAAAGCCGAATGAATTGATGGACAATAATAACACTTTAAGCAGATTAAAAGCAAATTTAATTAATCAAATTGAATAGAGCTAAGCAGATTACAACAAATATAATTAAGCTTAATGACCACTGGCCACTAAAATCAATTTTCAACTCACAAACTAGAATTGTAGAATTAAAGGAAGAAGTTGCAATTTGAAATAAAAAGAAGAAATAAAACCAGGTAGAAAGCGCAGTCCCAAAATTTGCTTCGATTCCAATCAACTTAATGTGCTGCTGACGAAAGAATCCACACGCAAGTGTAAAATCGTTGTTGCTGCACTGGAAATTGCCGCCGAAAACACCAAACCCGTAACCGGGCGCCGCCAAGAGTAGAACCGATTGTCGTCTTCCGGAGTTGCTCCGAAGTAAAAATTGATGATCCTCTGATGTGAGGTCTGTTCTCTATTTATAGTGTTCAGGCCTTCCGCTCCCCGCTCAGATCGCCAGAAGAATTGGTCTGCGGAAGATTGGTTCTTGTTCGCTGAGCTTGCGCCTCTGTTCTCTCGTGCGTCGACCGCCATTGACGGAAAGAAGGGAGAAGAACCGCTATTTCATGGACTCCAAACATGCTGATACAATCTTATTAACTAACCTAATAATAATAATAATAATAATAATAATAATAATAATAATAATAATAATAATAATAATAATAATAATAATAATAATAAAAAACTAAGATTAAGGAATTAAAGGACTAACAAAATTCAAATACTAAACAAATTTAATAATAACTATACTAAAATTGAACAAAATTAATAAAGCTATTAAAAATAATATTAAATAAAAATATATATTAATTAATTAATTAATTATTAATTATTGCAAATAAACTATAAAAAGGTTATATAAAATAACACTAAAAATAATGTTTATCAACACCCCGAAATCCAAATTCAATTAAGAGATTAATTGAGTAATTAATTCTATTTTAATTTGTAATTTAATTCCTTAAATTCATGAAATTCATTAGTTGGGGGACTAGTATTTGACTAGTCAACTCCAAAGTCAAGTTGTACCTTGAGCTTTGAAGGGAGTTCCCTTGTTCCTTACACTTTCTAAAGTTAGTAAGGGTATTCTTGACCTTTCACCAAGTGTTAGTATTGTAACCTAACCTAGAAGACATCTTCATTTCACCCCTTTACACTTTCTAAAATATTAGCTCTACCTTATCTTTAGAGAGGTGAGTAGCTTTTCCTTCAAGCTAAGTTGAGACCTTGTCAAGACTTCAAGATTTGCTTCCAAGATTCAACCTTTCACCTATTTGGGGATCTAGGAGGGTAAGATCTAAGTCCATCTTGTGTTTTTGGTTCCATCTTAGATGTCTTTATCTTAAAAGTAGGATCTTTATGATCTTTTGGTTTGTTCTTGAAGTGGGTTTGGAAGGGAAGCCTAGTGAGGAGCTTGTTGAGGTGTAAAGTGAAGTCTTTTAGTCTACAAGAGGTAACCCATGCTCTACAAAACCTATTTTGCTTACCTCTATGTGATTTCTTGGATTCTACATGTGTTTTGCTATGAAATGTGAGTGTTTATGCATGTTCTTGTGAAAATGCATATCTAGAGCTTGTGTTTAGGGTTCTTGTGTGCCATTGCTTGGCATTTCCTATGATTCAAGTCATTTTGTTGTGTTTGGTGAGATTTGGCATGTCTTGGACTTGAATTTGTGTTTGGAGACAAAAATCCGTGAAGTGTGTTTTGGTGGCACTTGTACCACCAAAACACACTTGTGTGCCATTGTTTGGCATTTCCTATGATTCAAGTCATTTTGTTGTGTTTGGTGAGATTTGGCATGTCTTGTACCACCAAAACACACTTGTGTGCCATTGCTTGGCATTTCCTATGATTCAAGTCATTTTGTTGTGTTTGGTGAGATTTGGCATGTCTTGGACTTGAATTTGTGTTTGGAGACAAAAATCCGCGAAGTGTGTTTTGGTGGTACAAGTGGTACCCGCGGGCGGAACGGCGGGTAGGAGGCCAACACGCCGCCCACCCGCGGGGTACAAAGAGTTGGAGGCCTGTACCTGCGGGCAGGACCACGGGTAGGGGCTTACCCATGGGCCCACCCGCGGGTACGTGATGTTGGTTGTTCAGGATTTGTTCCCCGTGATTCTCTTGACTCGGTATTTAGTCTTTTGACTTCCCGTTGTTCTTTTGTGGGACTATTTGAGTGTCTTTTTGATGTTTTGTATGTCTAGAAATATGTGGTAGGTATCCATGTAGGACTTTGGTGTTTTGAATCGTGCTAAGTGTTCAACATTGTGTTTCATTGAACCGTGGTGAGTCTTGTGTGTTCTTCCGTTTGGTTTACCCGTTTGATAAGCATGCTAGTTTGTTGTTTAAATGCTAGTGTGTGTGTTGTTTGTACCTTCCGTTTGGTTGATGATAACTTGTGTTATTCATTGTTGTTGTTGGGCTGTGACCCATTCCTTGATTGAGTATGGTTTCATATCTTCGTTGTGATCCGTTGATTGATTCCTGTTGTGGTGTGATGCGTGTGTGGCTTTACCTGGATTGCACGATTAGTGGTATGGGACACTAGTCACCAAGGTATTGCAGCGGTCCTCGTGGTGGCCGTGACGTGATTATGGAGTTGTGGCCTTTGTGTAAGGTTCACGTTTTATGGGGGATAACATGTGTTATCCGGGCATGTGTTGCCATATGTGTACGGTACCTTGTGTACTATGAATTGGTGGTCTCGTTGGTGGTCGTTGGTGGGGGACGACGGTCCCGGGGGAATAAGGTTGGACTTGGTTGTACAGGGGTCCTAGAGGTAATGGTTGGAAGAAGATATAAGGTTGGGGGTAGCCATAAGGTTAGAACAGGGCATAAGAAAGGCATATCAACTCGTGATGGGTGATGTCACGAGGGCTTGTGTAGCCGTTGTTGTGAGTTCTCTTTCTTGTGACGTGTGTAGTCACAAGGGCATGTGTTGCCATCGGTCTTGTCTTTATCCTTTGTGTTGTGGTTATCCTTTGTGGTTTTGGGATGTGTTCCCGTATCTTTGTTGAGAGTGTTGAGTCTTGTGTTGATTATTACTCTTGGTTCTGTACTTATATATTTATGTATTCCGTTTTGAAAATGGCTTTACAACTTATATTTTATCTATGTATGATATTTCACATGTATTGGTGGGTTACCAGCATCATTCGCTGATCGGGCGTCGTCCCATGTTTATCTTTGTGATCTTTCAGGTGATGTTTAGACACAACGAGATAACCCTTTTCCACAATATGCAATGCACTCGTGTAGCCCATCATGCCTTTTCTTATGGTAGCGATCACCCCCCCAACGAGATAACCCTTTTCCACAATATGCAATGCACTCGTGTAGCCCATCATGCCTTTTCTCGTTCCATGACTCCTCTACCACAGCCCTACAGCCCTCATTATAGACCCATGCCATCTCAAACCGGAACTGTTTTCTTCGTGTCCTCCCCCTCCCTACCGGGTCATGAATCCCCAGAAAGAGAAAGGAATGATCCGATCTTCTGGTCAGTATATTAGTCACTCTTGCCCCAGGGACACTATCGCGCCAGGTATTTGTGGCCAACACTTTGTCCAGTCTCTCTTCCATCCACCGATCTGTGCCCTTCCCTTTCTCTCATGTAAACTGATATCCTTCCATTGGTAGCTGATTCATGCCACAATACTCAATGGCCTCCCCAAAACCCTGTAAAAGGTAATTAGGATGTGTATTACCTCCCCTCTTCTCGTGCTGGAATAAGAGATCATTAAAATCTCCTATCATAACCCATGGTAGACTGGATTTTGGCTTTAATGATTTAATGAGATTCCATGCCTCTCTTCTTCTACTCCGGAGTGGAAAACCATAATAACAAGTCATCCGCCAATTCGGAAAACCAGCTATGCTAATCTCCAAATCAATATAATTTTTCGAGAAACTTATCAGTCTTGCCGTACTGTTCTTCCTCCAAAACAAAGCCAAACCACCACCCATTCTTACAGGATCAACATAAAACAACCCTTCAAACCCAAGCTTCACTCGTAACCTCTCTGCATTGTCTCGTCCTACTTTAGTTTCCATCAGAAAAACAAAATCAGGCTTCTTTCGGGACACCATGCCCTCTATTTCACGAACTGTACGTGGATTGCCCAAACCACGACAGTTCCAGCTTAGTGTACTCATTGGGTCGGGCGGGCTTGTGAAACAAGACCCACCGCATGCAAGTTTTTTGAACCGGTATTGGTTGCCACCTCATCACTCATCACCGTACCCGCCCCCTCCACTTCGGATGTATCTGCACGACGTCGTTTGGATGAGGCCATAACATCCTCATCTGAAACAGTTTGCTGGTGCGCCATTACAACCTCATCCATGGCCTCCGTTTCACCCCCTTTGCCGTCTGCCTCCATCGGTACTGTTCCCCCAACCGGTGGCAGCAACCATGAAGCACCTACCGGCCTCGGCCCTCTGACTTTCCCTGCCTTCATCCACGGCCCGTACGGATACGATTCAGGCATAATACCGGACACCCGAGCCTTCACACAAAACTTATCAAGATGGCCTAATAATCCACAACAAAAGCAGAAATTATGTAGTCGTTCGTACTTCAGATTTACCCATCCCCAAGCCTTATCCCTGCATATCAATTTCATTCTCCGCTTCAGGGGCTTGTCCACCGGCACCGACACACGCACACGATAAAACGTTTTCCAGGATCCACCCACTTTACAATCATCACACCGAATGAACGTTCCCACAAAATTTCCAACCTGTTCCAATATTGCATTCGATGTATACCCCATCGGCAAATCATAAACCTGTACCCACATGTCTATGGTATCCAGCTTAACTTCCCCCGGCAAAAAACCATCACAGACCTGTCGACATACAAGTGTATGATTTTCAAACGACCACGGTCCCTCCTCTAATACCCGCTTCATATCCGTGACGTGATAGAAGGAAAATAAGAACAAATTAGACTGCAGTTCCGTGACTCGCATCCCCATAACCGGCATCCATGCCGAGGCCATCACGTGTCGCATGTATTCAACCTTAATCAATTTAGCCGTGAGGAAGCGCCCAACAACCGAATAAACCTGCTTGCCCTCCTCGTCGACCGGCTGGTAAAGACCGCCAGCCTCAACGCCACTTTCTTCGTCCTCCAACACCATATCAGCCCAACGCTCGGTCATCCTCTCCATTCCGTCATTCTGATTCTGCTGCGACGCTGCTGCCATGGTATCAAGCTGTGTTCTGACCGTCGTAGTCAAGCTACGTTGCTCCGATCAGTTGTTGCTCTGCGGGAAAGCTATCGAAACCCTAACTTGGGAGAGAGAGAGAGAAAAACCCTAGTTTGGGAGAGAGTTTACATAACTTTTTATTTTACAGTATACAAAATATGGTCCACACAACTTGTGTAGACCATGGTCCACACAATAATGACTGAGGTGGGCACAGTTCCATAACAACATCGTTTTCATTAAAAACAATGTCGTTTTATTTTTATTTTTTTTTGTTTTTCATTTACCGTTAACGGCGTTGCTCTCTTTGCAATCGCACAGTTTATAAATTATGAATCTAAAGTATAGAAATTATGAATCTACAGTATTAGGTTTGTGAACATGTGATAGAGCTATATGTTCATAATTTTCGATGTTCATATATCTAATTGTTGAACTTTGTATTCACAAATCACAAAACTATATATTTATAATTTGATAACTATACAGTTTAGAAATTATGAATCTACAGTACATAAATTATGAATCTGCAGTATAAAAATTATGAATTTACAGTATAGAAATTATGAATCTACTATATTTAAATTATGAATCTGCGATTTAGAAATTATAAATATACAGTATAGATTTTATGAATTTACAGTATAGAAATTATGGATCTACAGTATAGAAATTATGAATCTAAATCCGTGCCCACCTTGCACAACATAACGCTCCAATTTAGGAAGCACTATGCGCACGAAATCAGGCCACTCCTCTCCTTCTCCTTCTCTTCCATAGGGTCTACAAAAAATCATCTCTTGCACGAGTTAAAATTTGCTTTTCTCCTTCTCTCACATTCACCTCCAATCGTTATGCTGTGGAACCGTGTCCACCTTTCAAGGTGGACACGGTTCTATATTCATAATTACTGAACTATATGTTCATAATTATAAAGCTATATATTCATAATTTTTGAACTTCATATTCATAATTATTGAGCTCTATATTCACAATTACAGAACTCTATGTTCATAATTACTGAACTATATATTCATAATTATAAAGTTATATATTCATAATTTTTGAACTTCATATTCACAATTATTGAATCTCTATATTCATAATTACAGAACTAGATGTTCATAATTATGTTCACAACTCTATGTTTATAATTATAGAATTATATGTTCATAATTTTTTAACTATATATTCATAATTATGAACACTTTTGGAACCGTACGGTTCCATAGCATAACTTGCCCATTCACCTAACCATGGATGCCACAAAAAAATCAATAAAAATCCACTTGTGTGGATGGTCTTAGGTGTACTACGGGGTAGGTTTTGGAATATCAAGGAATAAGGAAAGTTGAGATTGTTTCCAAAAAAAAAAAAAGGAAAGTTGAGATTTTACGGCTTAAATTTCTCTCTTCATTAAGCCGTGTATCCCATATTTCCATAGGAGCATTAACAACCAGAATCTGCTTCCATCCTTGCAAGTTCAATGGCGAGAACACGGAGGACATGGCCTCGCCTTGGCCTAGACTGTTCTGAGTCATCCCGGAAGAAGAGGAGGAAAGGTGAACTAGAAGTGGACCCACTGATAGTAGAAGAAACGGAGGTCACAATCACCATGGACATTGCATCTGATAAACGGAAGGCGAAGATTCATCGTCGTGCTCCTCGTCGCGTGCGACTCTCCAGTCACCGGCACACCAATCTACTCCGAAGCTAGCCCGCCATCAATGGAAGTAGTGGGAAATTGGCTTAAAGGCTACCATCTCATCTATTGATTTTTCTATGGAAAGTGTAGATGAGCAAACCATTGGAGCCCCGTTGGGACTGCCGAAGCCGGTGATGGAATCTGGACAAAAGTGTGGTACGGTGAATGAGCAAGAAAGGCCAGAAGAAGAAAGGTTGAGGGGTGCACATCAACTGTTCGATAAAATGCCGCAACCAGTGGAGGAGCCTATCTCTAGTTCTCTACCCTTCCAGATACCTCGTTGGTTGAGCAACGACAGGGGAGCGATGACCACACCTTAGCTAGGACTCCTGTCTCAAAGAAATGCAAAGGCATCGCCTGTGATTATGATGGATGACCGTGGTCTGAATTTTCCATCCCATACGAAGTCAAAAAGCTCATCTCGGCAGTCCAAGGTGCGAGGTAAGGCCCCTAAGTCTTGAATCATAGCCCCAAATAAGACTGTTTTTTTTTTTTTTTTTTTTTTTTTGAAAATGTGATGGTTTTTGAAATTAAGTAGGAAAAAAAAAAAAATTCTTGGTAGCCTTTTTTTGGGAATGAAAAAAGGCTACCAAGAATGCCATTTCTTGGCAATATTAAAAAAAAAAAAAGAAAAAAACTAGTATAATACTAGGTATTATACGTAATAAATAGTGTACTGTGAGCATTTGATTAAGTTTTATTTGTAATGATTATGGTCATGTGGATTAATTATTGAATTGGTAATGATTAGTATTTATTAGGTAATGATTATATGACATTATAATATTAAATTATTAGTTATATTTAGATTTAGATAACAATATTATATAAAATTTTATAGTACTCCGTAATAATTAGGGAATATTTTAGAATCGTATATTATATTGACAAGAGAACAACGTTTGTCAAGGCACAGCACACCGTCGTCTCCAACGAAGGTACCATCGTCTCCAATGTAGGTACCATCGTCTCCAATGTAGGTACCATCGTCATCCCGTTAGGCCAATACATAGCACACCGTTATTCCCAACATAGGAACCATCGTTACCCAGTTAGGCCAAGGCATAGCACACGTTGGTCGGGGGACGGACTGAAAACGGCTCTTTCGGGGACTTTTCTCGAGCATCGAACAACCAACTCAGAAGTGGTACGGACAAGGGGAATTCGACTGTTTAATTAAAACAAAGCATTGTGATAGTCCCTATGTTGAGTCAAATAAAGCCGCAAGCTCCACTCCTGGTGGTGTCCTTCTGCTAATTCCTTTAAGTTTCAGCCTTGCGACCATACTTCCCCCCGGTCTCAAAGACTTTGATTTCTCATAAGGTGCCTGCGGAATCATAAAAGCAACATACGCCTATTCCTTGTAGGCATCGTTTAACTAGACAAATCGCTCCAAAAACTAAGAACGATCGTGCACCAACACCCATAGAATCTTGAAAGAGTTTTCAGTAGCTAAAATCTGTAAAAAAACGTGAAGAGTTTTTAGTGGGTCGACATGAATTGTTCGTTCACTTATGAAAATCAATGAGAGAACTCATGTTGGACTGGCATTATAGAGAGAAACAAGAGAATTCTCTCTAGAGAGAGAAACACTCTAGCCAGACTGTGAGCTCTTTACTACTGAAAGATCTTTCGGGATTCTATGGTCGGTGGTGCATGACCGT